CTTCCCACCATCCCCCCATCACCCCTCCCCCACCTCCCTCCATACAACACTGCCTAACACTAGGGACCCCACCTTTGACCCCAAACCCCCCGGTGGGTCAGGGGAACACAACTAGACTGTTACTGCTGGGCCCCACGTATGCAACGTAGGGGCCACAACCCGGTGATCGGGAACTGATTTTAGGGATTGTCCGCTCTCTCTTTAAGGCAGCCAGGGGGCTGAAGGCAGCCGGGGGCTTGAAGGCAGCCCGGGGTTTGAAGGCAGCCAGGGTCTTGAAGGCAGCCAGGGGTTTGAAGGCGCCAGGGGTCTTGAAGGCAGCCGGGGCTTGAAAGCGCCCGGGGGGCTTTAAGGCACCAGGGGTCTTGAAGGCAGCCAGGGGGGCTTGAAGCAGCCAGGGGGCTTGAAGGGAGCCCGGGTCTTTAAAGGCAGCCAGGGGGCTTGAAGGCAGCCCGGGGGCTTGAAAGGCAGCCAGGGGTCTTTAAGGAGCCAGGGTTTATTGGGGACTCCCGTTATGTCTGGTGAGAGAGAACATCTTGCGATCCAAAGGAAATAAATCATTTTTCGACTTTTTTTTGGGTTTTTCCCTTTTTTCTACACATATGCGTATGTATATAAACTACGTAACAAAATTTGTGTATACCTAATAAACCTAATGGCGCCCCTTTTTTCATTGGGGGGATGTTACACCCCCTTACTGCTAGGGAAAGGGATACAGGTGTTTGCCCAAAAATGCCTACAAATATAGGGGTTTTCGGCATTACACCCAATTGTCATTTCCTTTGTAAAAAACACTGTAAGCCCCGCCGGGGTTGGAATGTGAGAGCAGTCAGTTGTGACCTAACGGGTTCCATCCTTTTCGCAAAACACTTTCCCCCCTCCATCACCAGCATCACCCAAAACCTCTTACTCCCCAGGGTGGTGGGTGAAGAGGATGATGCACCGCCCAAAACCCCTCCCCCACTCCTCTTCAGTAAGCCATCGTAAATCTCCCTTGTACAAACCCTGCCTCTCCCACCCTCCCCACCAACCCCTCGCCCTCTCCCCCTTCTTTCCTTTTTTAACGCGGTAATTTCCTCGCCTCGTCATTATTGCTTTCATCAAAACCAAC